GCAGAGATCCTTTCCCATCCCAAAATAAAATTGAGACTGTATTTGAGAATGTAATTTCCACGCATTTCTATAATCTTGGCCTTCAGTGAAGGAAAACAGGTTTTTCTCGGGTTGCCTTAAATAAAAATAGATGGGGAAGTTCTGCCTAATATAAAGTGATGTCATTTCAGATATTTACACTTTACTTAAAAATAGTTCTCGATGTCAGGAGAGAAAGGAAGTGTCAGCGCTTCACAACAGCTTCCTTTTATCTCTCTGTGTAATGTAGCATTTGTTAAGGTAGGAAAAGGCGTTTGCATAATCACATATTTGACAGAACTTGTCACAACAGTTTTGAGCAAAGAGAGCTGACCTTTGAGTGTTACCAAAGAGTACGTATCTGCAATGCAGCAGCTGAAGAGTGCTTGTACCCTGTGTACTTTGACAAGTCAGGGAAGAGTCAAGTAGAAAGGTGCTTAATGCCTTCTCCCTGATGTTATTATTTTGAATCATTTGATCCCTTTGAAATTGTCTAAAGGTTTCCCTTGTCCTTCATTTTTAGTAGGCCATTAACTAAAGAAGAGGGAGAAGTAGGAAAGTTGGGTATCTCAAGCCATGCAAGCTGCTGTGAGAGTTGCTCTCCTGTACCAGTATGCTGCTGTAAGTGTACCCAAATGCCCAAACTGCAAAAACTATTTGTTATAAAATTCATCAAACTGGTAAATTATCTGTTGCAACTCTGGCTGATTTTTCCAGACGTTCATTTCAAGCATGTTTCTTTGTTTCCTTGGAAACTGAAACGAAGAAACCAAGGGAACCCAGACTGCCATACTCTATCACTCTCCTTTTTGCCAGTGTACAAAATTCCTTCCCATTAAAAGTTATGCTATAAAATTTCTGGTACATGTGGCTTCTGAGTATCTGTTAAGTCTTCAGAACAGGCATTTTAAAGCCAAAAGATGTGGATACGAAATTTTAGAAAAAACATCTTCATACTCTAAAATATACTGAGCTTTAGAGAGAGCTCCCAGACAAACTGTGTGATCTCTAAAAGGTGCAGGCCATTTTATTAAATGACAGCCTGGCTTCCAGCCCTTCAGCCAGCATGCACACCTTGTGAGTAATCATTTCAGGCTGGAAATTCAACCTTCGGTATCCTCGTAAGGACACAGGCATTCTAATTTGCTTGCAAGGGACTTAAGTATCATTACTTATTATTATGAAGAGCTGCCACTGTCATTAGATAAATAATAGAAAACAATGCCAGGAGAGTTCAGCCAGGCCATTCCCTTCCCCTTCCATACAGTGACCTTGCACAGACTCCAGTTTCCACACAATCTTGTCTCCTTCAGAATTTCCTTCAACTTTCAACTTCATACCTCTTTGTCCAGGTTCCCATATTTAGCAGCCCAATATTTTTTCTCAGCATCTCCTACAACACCTACTTTACCTTCTTTGTCTCTCCATCAACACATTTTTCTCCCTTCTCCCCATATTCTCTTCCACACACCTCCCTTCATCCTATCACTCTAACCTCCCTCTAAGCCCCAGCCCCTTGATCCCCACAGGTTTTCAGTGCCCTGCATTTCCTCACTTCTCACAGCCTCTTCTTGCTCTCCATCAGTGTTTCCCTTAATTCCACTTTATTTCCTGAAGTGTATACCCCAACATGTACACCTATATTCCTTCATCACTATACACTCCTTCAGTATCACATCCCTGTTAATTCACATCTTCTCTTTCATCTTACATTGCTCTTGCATCCTAGCAGCTTGTTCTAGCAAGGCTTTGATCCAGTTTAAGATATTACTGAATTACTTGATAGCTGAAATACTAAGATAATCACATCTCTTTTATAAGAAGATACTCTTTGTGTTCACAAAAAACAGCTGATTGTGTTTTATGGGCAGGATGGCAGAAAAAAATGGATGATGCACACCTGCATAATTTCCTACTTCCATGAACAATGAAAATAGCAATACCTGAAATAAGATCATCCTAACCCTATCCTAAATCATTCTAACACAGAATAGAGCTAGACTCATGAATATAGAGCTATATCCTTCCCAAATCTTGTAAAACCTTCTTGGTGTGAAAATCTCATAGAGGGGGGGCACTTGAGAGATGTGCAGTTGCTGCTGGCCCTTTTCCAGTCCCTGTCTCACATATTGCAACTTGATAGCCAACTCCCTGTTTGTGTCTGGTTCTAGCATTTGCCAGATATAGGACACTGGATAAAATGGATTTCAGTCTCTTTCTAATAGCATCGGGTATTTCAAAGACAAATGTTCCCATAAAGCACTGAGCTAGCATAGCCCCCACCTTCAGCACCCAAAAGACAGGTAGGATGGAGTTGCATTCAACGGGGAGCCCCCGGTTATCAAAACCAATTTCCACAAACATCAGAAAAACAGATTTAGCCTAACCTGTGGCTTTAAGAGCAATCCTGGTTAAATGTCATTACAAATCTAGCTGCCCTGAGGACACAGGGGCTCACTGAATCCTTTCTAAGTCACAGTTTCCCCTCTGCTCCTCTTTTGTCCCCAAAGGGTAGTCGTTTTCTCCCAGCATGCACAATCAGCAGTTACAATCAGTCCTCTGGTGGCTCAGCTGCATGGGTTTGTGTATTCCAGGGAACCAGCCAAGATTTAACTTGTTCCCCACACTGCTTGCTCTCAGGGATGAATTTTGTGTGTTTAACCTTTAAATTCTTGGAAGCCAATGGCTTTTGAGAGTTGTACGTGTAGAGATTTAATTGGGGTTGTCACACAGACGTACAACCCCACAAAATTTTGCAAAATGCTTTTCAAGAGCTTAGTGTCAACCTAGAAGATACTGAAGATTGTAAAGATACTGTAGGTGCTACAGGTAATGACAACTCCTTTCCTGTATCCCCTTGGAATACCCTTCTGCTTCTGCTAATTATACCTTAACTTCATTAATTACTTTTTATAAAGGTCAATGTCTAAAATAAAGAAGCAGATTTTTTTTTCATAAAATAACCCCTAGGATACAGGTCCAAGGACATGAGATGTTTCCAGACTAAAACAACTGACTTCCAATGAAGCTGGTTAATTGGGAAATGGAAACAACTGCAACCCCACCGTTATGGGAGTGCTGGTGCTCAGGGGTATCTGTCAGGCAGTTTTCCTACAGAACATTACAGATGAGATTTCAGGGTAGACTGTAGCACTGAGCCTGTGTAAATATAGTCTTTTACCTCCTCAGTCTGAATATATATTAACTTTGAGCATATAACCTCCACAGAAAACATACAATAGGGTTTTTTAACTGCTCTGACGTTGACACAAATATTTAGGAACTTGCATCACAGAACAAAGAGAGGCACTAGAAAACAGAAGTCCTATTACTCCATTCTCCCCAATGGGTCTGTGCTGCATGGCAGTAACGTGCAGTGCAGGTGGTGTATGGACGATGTATAGACAACTCTCCCATTAGCCCAACACCCCAATAGGCACATCCTTGTCGGATAAAGAATTCTCATTCATAAGGGCTCTCTGAGATCCAAGTGTTTTAATTTCAAAACTAATTGCTTTGAGTTATATTAATGTATGTTCTATGTCATACAACAATTTAGTTTCCACAGAGGTATCTAACTGTAATATTGTATATGGTTTATAATAGATGAAGTACGATAAATATCATTGTCATATATGGCCTGGTGTTAGCCTGGAACCCCAAATGGTGTGGGGTCCTGTGATAATTTAGTTATTCTGTCCTGCTGTCAGCATGTGCTGACAATTTTTGAAGTCTAATCAATTTGAAGAGTCAAATGGAGAACTGGGCTCTAAGTCTCAAAGGCACTATGTTCCCTGAAATTTCAGGAGAATCCAGAGAAGTAGAAGAGACACCCCAATTAGACATACTACTAATTAATGTCACCGCTAATTTCACAGTTTTACTTGAGGCTGTTATTAATTTGGGAAGATTAATGATACATGCCTGCTGACCAGCAGGTGCACAGCTCAGCACATGGATGCGCGTTTGATGCAGATGCACGAGGGAAAAACTAGAGGTGACTTTGGCAGGAGGGAGATTTGCTGGAAGCATACAGGAAGAGGAATGTCTGTCCCTAGAAAGCCAGGACTCACCTGCTATGCTATTCAAGGAATAATTTGTTTTTCATTAGAAAATTACACCAAGTCGTTTTTTTCAAGGCCTGTTTTCCTAAAACTGAATAAAAGTTGGTATATATCCTAGATTCATAGAATCATGAAGGTTGGACAAGACCTCCAAGATCATCTGGACCAACCACCCCCCTACCACCACTGTCACCCACCAAACCATGTTCCCAAGCACCACGTCCAACCTCTCCTTGAACACCCCCAGGGACGGTGACTCCACCACCTCCCTGGGCAACCCGTCCCAGTGCCTGACTGCTCTTTCTGAGGAGAAATGTCTCCTCATTGCCAACCTGAACCTCCCCTGGTGCAACTTGAGGCCATTCCCTCTGGTCCTATCGCTAGTTAAGTGCCAGAAGAGGCCGACCCCCAGCTCCCCACAGCTTCCTTACAGGCATTGCAGAGAGCAATGAGGCCTCCCCTGAGCCTCCTCTGCTCTAGACCAAACCCCCCCAGTTCCCTCAGCCGCTCCTCAAAGGACTTGCGCTCCAGTACCTCACCTCTGACAATGTTTTTCTTTCCCAAGCCTAGACACCCACCGTTACACAACAACCCCCTCACAACTTGTTTATTGTGGTCCTAGCCACACTCATTCGTGTTGCTAAAAACGATACGAAACACGACTGTTTTGAAGTCTTTATTGCCTGACTCCTTTCAACCATGCTGTCACCACGCACACCATCTGACACAGCAGGCTGAAAACCTGCTCTTTCCATAGTTTTTCCGCGGTTCTCTCAGCGGACATCTCACGGAGCAGCGCCACAGCCGGCAGGGCCATCACGTCGTCCCCCCCCCTCCGGTGCCGGGCACAGCGCGCTCCCTCCCCGCTGCCCCCGGGCGGCGGCGGCAGGACCCAGGTGAGAGCGGGGCGCGGCTGAAGGAGGCGGGCAGGGCCGGCTGCCGCCGCCGACAGCCTCGGAGGGGCTGGGCGGAGGGAGGCCGGGCTCGGCTTGACAGGAGCGAGGGCGGGAGGCGAGGAGGGAGGCGAGGAAGGAGGCGCCGCCGGCTGCGCTCGCCGGGCGCGGGTGAGTGAGGGAGGGAGGGAGGCGGGAGGGAGGCAGCGGGTGCCCGCCCGTCCCCGCCGCCACCGGGCGGCTGAGGCGCGGTTCCCTTTTCATCCCCTCACCCTCAGCCCCCCGGGGAGCTTCCAGCGGGGTCCCCCCTCTGTAGCAGCCGCCTCCTTTATTGTCTCCCCGGCCCCACGAGCAGACAAAAGCCGCTCGGCGCCGACGCCCCACCTGCAGGGACCGCAGCCGCCCCCGGTGGGGGGGTGCCCCTCATGCCGCCGGGTCGGGGGGGACAGACGGACAGACAGACAGACGGCCCCACAGCGGCTGTGCGCCGGCAAAACTTATTTTTAGCTGCGCCTGCCGCCCCGATGTGGGTAAAAATAGCGTGGGTCTTGGGCTGGGAGGGGGAGAGAAAGTGGTTTGGGAGGCCTCGGTGGTGGGTTTTTGGGTTTTGGGGGCGGGTTCGTGTAGTCGTTGTTAAATCTGGCGCTTCTGGTGTGTAAGGTGTTGGTTCAGGTGTCCTGAGCTGTCTTTCTAAGCGACCGGCTTGTTTGCTTACAAAAATAGGAACTCCACGTGTATAGCTGTTTTATTTTTAAAATGGAACAATATATATATATATATATTTGAGGGGAAAACAAATAAAGCAGTAGTACAGCCAGAGAACTACCGGTCAGGTAATATCCACAGGTATGTGCTGGTGCTTTTACTTTATCCTGAAAGCTTTAAGGTCACCCCTCTAAGGACAGGAGCGAAGGAGACCATCACTTTGTCCTCATCCACAGCCGTGTCTTCAGAATGAGACACAAGGTCTCAGCCACAGATTATATATATATATTTAAACATATATATGCACACCTGATTAGTGTGTGCACGTGGGAAGCCTTTTGTAGGGTTACCTGAGGGGTTTTGAGCTGTAATTTTCTTCTGTACTGTCACTTCTGCTCAGAACATCGGCAGCGTGTTAGCGATGCAGGTAGGAGTGATAACAGGCAGTCTTGTTTATCGTCATTGTAAATTAGCCTTTTGATTTTTTTTTTTAGCTACTGAGTTTCAGCTGATCATAGCGATAAAACGATTAGTTTTATTGAGCTAAATTATACCACTTCTGTCACAAAGGAAAATTTGGAGTTTTATTTTAAAACCGGCATAGATAACAGGAGACGTAGAGTGTAAATGAAAAAGTGTATATCCAATAGAAAAAGGAAATTTAAGAAAAAAGCTTGTATTTGTAGAATCACACTGTATTTCAGGTTGTAAAGGATGTTACCTACCTCTGGATGTTACCTACTCAAAGCAGGTCCAGTTGGATCAGGATGCTCTGGCCTTGCCAAGCTGAGTTTTGAGCACCTCCTGGGCTGGAGATTTGGAGATTCCAGCACCTTTCTGGTTGCAGTGGTGGTGCTGTTCAACCACCCTTTTGCTGGTTTGTTTTTTTCTTTATCTAGTGGCTATTTCCTGAGTTGGAGTTTGTTTCTTTCCTCCTGTCCAGTTGCCGGCACCTGGGCTGCATCTGTCTGTGGGTGATCATCGCCGTGTGCTTCTGTAGTCCCAGGAGCTCATAGAAAACATACCAGTGTTTTGGACCAATGTGCTGATAGCTTCATGACATCATTCTGAGTATAATTGCTAAATTTCATATTCATAAACAGGAAATTTACTCTTTCCAAATGTTTTTTTTCAACATTTCCTGTTTATTCGAATGTGGCCTATTAGGTGTAGCCTATTAGTTCAATATTGATAAAGTAAACACCTTAACATCAATTAAGACTCTTTATTGTTTTCTTTTTTTTAATCAAATAAACATCCCAAATTATCCACCTTTGTTTATCTATTTGCCTTGTGTTTGTTAACCTGCACGTGAGACAATTTGTTCCTAATTTTTGCTAGAGTCCCTTTACCATTAGCAGTGTCATAAAGTACAGTGGAATGACAAAGAGTCAACTCCTTTTAATGAAAGGAAAGCTTTTGACTGTAATCTTGACATAGATTTTCCTTGAGAAGGGGTGTGCTTTGAACAATGGAGCAGAACCTGTTATTACTAGGAAGTTGCCTTTGTACTAATACAGGCATTGTTTATTGCTCTAGAGAAGCCTTGGCTGATATTTATAGTGCTGTTGATGCAGTAAATGATGTGGGCACCTTCTTTGGTTCAGTGAAGAAGAAAAAAAAAAGTGGTTTTAGGCTGTGTGGAATAAAAATTGCCATGTTCTCTATCGTGACACATGACTGCCAAAATTGCTTGTTTCTTCATTTGCATAGATTCTTAGATGTTGCTGATAATATTTCAAGAGCAGTAGAATGTATTTGTGATGTGATTCATGGTGTGTCACTTCTGGACATGGCTGGGTAAAATTTCAAAACATTAGCATCATGCTGCTTAATAGCAAATACTTCGGAATAGCTCGTACTTTTCCATTAGAGCCGCATCAAATAATTTATTAGAAGCAGTTTGAATGACCGGCTGCACTGAATTTGAGGATATTTGGATTGTTTGGTAAATAATTTAACTTACTTTTCCAGATAGCATCTGCCATTTTGTAATGACTGGAACACCTGACAGTTACGCTCATTGGCTTGCACTAATTACAGTGAGCTTCCACTTCAGGGAGAAATCACATCTGGGGGTGTATTGTTTTATAATGTTTGTATGTTTTGTTTTTTCTTTTCTTTTTGTTTTAGTCCTGCAATGCCTATGCAAGTATTAGTTATTCATGGACATGCATAAAACTCTTCTGTAGGCTCACCAAGCTCTATGTTACATATTTGTGATTTGAAAATTTGTCACTGGTGGCATTTTAGGGCTTTTAAAATAATATTTTCTGTTTCCAAAGTGAACTGCTTAGTTTGTTTTCTCTGGTGTGTATGAATCTCCTGTTAGCAGGTCATTGTGGCAAAATAAACTAACTCATTCCTTGTTACATTCTGATAAAATAAAACTTTTGGGGAGGGTGTAAAAGCTTTATTTGATTTGACAGTATTAGAGAATGATTTGCATTGTCGCTAAGTTGGTTCATCTTGGACTGTTTGTTCAAAATCTTGGAAGGGGAGGCTTCACGTGTCTGCAAGCAGATGAGGACAGCAGTGATTCATATAACAATTTTCAGTCTGAATTTCGACAAGAACATAAAACTGGGAACGCACTTGTTAGACTCGTGAATGTTCTGCTTACCATAATGCGTGCAGAAAGCCTGTTGATCTCTTTAAAACGATTGTTATAGGAGAGGATTCTGTAATGCAGCTCAGAGAGTTTCAGCTTTTATGGGCCAGGACTGAGCTAAACTGAACCTGGGGTGTGTGACAATGACTAATAACAGATGCATCAGTGGGAACTATAAGAACAAATCTGCATCCCACATCCAAGGTGAACCTGATGCTTTTTAGTTTGGAGTTGGCTTAAAACCCAACTAAAAAAGTTTAAGGGCCTCTTCAGATGGTATGCATAATGATGATAATTTTGGACGTCCTTGTTGCTGATGTAATTAGGCAGCCTGTATCTAATGCTGCTTTGGGGGGCAGCAAATTTATGCCAGGTATTTGTTTGCTTACTTGTTTTTGATGCCAGACTGTTCACGAATTCAGGCCAAATTCACTGGAGTTTTTCCACTAAACTGAATGATTAGGGCTAATGTAACATTTGGGGAAAAAGAGGTCCTTCTGCCCACGTCTTGCCACTTGGAAATGCAGTGTTTCCGACACTAGCCTGGGTGTGAAACTGCCCGGCTTCAGATTCCCTTTCTGTTTGTGTTGGAGCAAGGTCTGGAAGAGAAGCTGCTTCTCAGATTCCCATTATCACCAATTTTTCAGATATTCCCAGCTTCTCCTGTGGAATTGGAGGTGCTTTTGTAATTATTATTTAACAAGTAGAGACTGTGCGGCTGCTTCCTAGTTAGGTCTTTTGTGTTGGGCATGGGAAACTTGTGAAGTTTGTGTTCCATCAGCTGTCCCAGGAAGTGTTCAAGTATTTTATTGTATACAAACAGCATCAAGAAGCACATCTGTGATTCTATGATTCTATCTAAAATGACTCTCTAGCCTGATACTTAATAGTATCTTACTCCTGAGCTACTAGAGATCTTTATTCAGGAAAGACAGAGTAATGTATCGGCTTAACAGACAAGAAATCATTGTTAAAATGCAAACTGTTTCTGAATATTGCTCAATTCCAGTATCACGCTGAACAGGGGATGCTTATCTAACATTTATTCTTACAGTCCGTTTCTGAATAATCTTAAATTCCAGATGTTGGTATCTTCTGGTCAAATCACATTCTGTGTGATGTGACCATGTATTTATGAACGTGGTAGAGCGCTACCACTCAGTATTACTCAGTAAGTGCTACCTTTGAACCTGTGCATAGATTTCTTACGATATTGCTTAGGAATTTTTGCTGACTTTTCCAAATGTTACAGTTTTTGTGTGCAGCCCTGTGCAGGTTTTGAAAGGTTTACAGTTTGCTGGTGACATTCTGCAGTACCATCTACAGACTTCTGACAGGCTCCACACTAGCTTTGAGGACATGTATTTTTGAACTTTGATGGAAATCGCACAGTGTTGTTCCAAATAAGTGCTCCTGTGACTTCTGCATGAGGTGGGCCGGATGGTTTTGCGTTTCTTTTTTCCAGAAAGAAATCCATGGCTTACATACGTGTTCCAAACTGGCCTTGAAATGACTGCCATGGCTCCTGTGTGAAGATCAGCCTGTTGTAGACTGGAAATCAGTGGGCTGCTGTGCTAATCCCAAGGCAACCTCCACCCGTTTAAGTGTTTGGCTGCTAATATTTGTACCAATTGGTCATTAAAACCTGTTTTCCACAGAACACAGAGTGTTTTCAACTGGACTGCACGTTGTGTGCCCTACCAGCCATGTCACTGCTGCAGGCATCCATGGCAGGAGGCTGCCCTAGGTGTCAGTGTCAGTCTGGGGAAACAATGGGAAGTTTTGGTGACTGTACAATCCAAGGGGGTAAGAACTATATTTAAAATGTGGATTTCTCCACTGAAAATTGAAGTTT